AGAGAGAGAGAGAGAGAGAGAGAGAGAGAGAGAGAGAGAGAGAGAGAGAGAGAGAGAGAGAGTTTGGTGACATTGGATCCAGACTCGACATTGGGCTTCAGACATTTTGACGAGGGACTATCTGGGACTTGTAACGAATACTTCCCATCTTCCCCTTCCTCTTCGTCTGATCCCCTCCTCTTCGTCTGTGTATGATCTGGACCTGGCGCACTCTTCCTGTGTGTAGCGCCAGGCCCCTTCACGCCTCGTGACGTGGATGATGTATGTTTGGTCTGTAATGTGACATTGATTGGGCTAGTCATTGGTTTCCTAGCATTCTGCTGCGCTGTCTTGCACTACGTGAGAGAGGTCAGTCCCGGTCAGGTCAGGACTTGTATCTAAGTCTTCCAGTGCGCTATAAAGCACCATTCTTGTATGTATCGGAATGCACACTGCTTGTTGAGATTCTACTTGCACTGCATTGTCCATTCAGTCCTTTTTATCACATTGCGGATCCTTGGTTATATATGTACATCACCCAACTGGGCATGTAACATTGTTCTCCTCCCTCTGCTGTTCTTCGTCTATGAGAGAGAGAGTTCCAGAGAGATGTTGAGAGTAGAGACTTGGTGACTTCGGGGGATTGGCAGACTCGTACATAGTATTAAGACAGAGACTTTGGTCGATTATTGTTCATGACTATTCATTCATAGGTCAGGCTATTGAGTTGACATCTCCCCGCTTCGTCTCTTCCTCCACCTCCTTCGTCCACGGGTGTTTGCAGACATGGCGGCTATCCTCTATGTATGAGCTGCCATGTCCGTCTGTGTTCGACTGATGATGGATGTAACAGATCTGTATTTTTCAGACTTCCGCTGCATTGTCATTTCTACTTCTCCTTCAGGTGAACTTGGTTCTTGGGTTTTGCGCCATGCCAGTCTGTTTTGTATAGGCATGTGACATCCACGACAAACACCAGAGGACAACACTTATAGTATGAACGATTTGAGCAGAAGCTGGAACTTGGTACACCTCCGCACAGCAACGAGCCTAGCTCTGTTGGTACATCCACACATTGTTTTACATACAGACCTGACTTTCAAATCTAGATGTGCACAACACCAAAAACAAGCACCACCACGACAAACACCGGAGCACACCACCTACATCAACGATTTGTGTAGAAACTGGGACTTCGTACACCGCCGCACACCAATTAGCCTAGCAACTGTTGAAATACAGACCTGATTTTGAATCCATGGCTCAGTGGTTCGGGCACCGGTTCGAAATGCGGATGATTGTGGTCCGGGTACAAAACTCCGCACCTCCGTGCAGGACACCAGCGGGCGTTCACATAATGCACGCGGCACGACCATCTGCACATCCCCTTGGGCTGACGCAGGTAAAGGTATTACAGACATGGTGGCTCAGTGGTTAGGGCACCAGTTGGTAATACGCATTCAATTTGTGGTCTGAGGTTATGGGTTCAAAACTCCACACCTCTGCGCAGGACACCGGCGGGCGTTCACATAACACACGGCCATCTGCACACTCCCTTGGGCTGATGCAGGTAAGGATATTACAGACACTGCTGCCGCACCACCCAAGGGCTCTAGTTCACAGCTGTTGTATGCTGGGTCTAGACTATGAGGGGTTGCCTGATGTTCTTGGTCCACGGGGTTGTCTGGATGCTTGCACACTTGTCCCTTACTCAAGCTCAGCGTAGCACACATTTAGAACTTTAGACCATTCGACACTGGTCACTGATAAGCACGATGTTCGGAGTTGGAGGTTTGATACCGCAAAAATGAGTTCAGGAATAGACATTGTGGGGATGCAGACCAGGGTTGTGGGCGGTTGATCACGTGGTATTGGTTACCTTAGGGCTCAACTTTGGGGGGGCTTGGGTTCTGGGTGGGATTTGATCAGGGACTCAGCTGGGGGGAGGGTTGGTTGGGCACTATCCCTACTGGAGAGTTGGGGCCCCTGCGGTAGTGGATGTCGTAGGGGTCCTCTGGGTTGATGTAGAGCTGGTATAGGCCCTGGTGGAGGATATCGTCGGGGAAACTGCATTAGAGGCTGTCTTAAGGGGTGGAGGCTCATCTGTTACCTGCATGGCGACTACTGTCAGATTAGAATAGCCCAGTGTAGCTCTCGTTGATGATAGAGGTTGGGGGAGCGGATGCTGGTCGTGAACCCACTGAGGACAGAAACTGGAGCTACTCTGGGGGATGCTAATAGAATGCCTAGACATCCAGTTGATGATAGAGGTACGGGAAGCGGATGGTGGACGGAAACTGGAGATGCTTTAGGTTCGAATAACCTCCGCAAGAATTCAAAAATAACCATAGTGCAAGGAAAATGAGCAACAGCGAGATGACAAATCCAGATTACACAATCACATTGAAAGCCAGATAGTCCCACCGTGTGCAGAGAGCAGCACTGCACCACTAATACACCAATGGAGGTTCGTGGTACTGAAAACCAATGTCAAGGAGAGCTTTCTCTCTCCACACCAACACAAGAGTCCAGTCCCTTCGCTCTCCTACTTGGCGCTCAGCGCCCAGCCTACTCCTACACAGCTATTATCAGCCTACTAATTGACAATGCAACAACCCGAAGTACTTGAAGATGCCGCCCAATGCAGACCATCGCCAATACAAGGTATGTGCCCTTACATCATCATCATCATCATCCTTCACCCTTCCCTGACTTTACACCCACGTCTTCCTCCCTTACACCCGAAGACCACTCATGCGCCTCACTGTAGTCCAAGCCCACCGGCTATGGTGGCTGGGCTATGGCGCTGCCCTCAGCAGCGCCCTTCTTCCCTGCACGACCGCACGTGCTGCACCTCGCCTCTAGCGCCAGCAGCAGCCCATGAGCCTTTGCTCCAGCAGCGCTGCCGCTAGCATGCGAGTGCCTGAATGAGGCTGAGAGTGGCGAGCCCTTTCCTTTATGGAAAGAGCCTGTCTGCTTCGCAGCGTGGCTGGGTTGGGCCTGGGCCCAGAAGCTTCCGGTAGGCCCCAGGATGCTGAGTGCTATTTTGCAGCTACTGGGCCGCTTTCGGTTGGGCCTCCCAACTGTCAGTGTATGAGGCTGCGTTTCTCGCCCAGGGCCTGCATTCTTCGGAAAGGCCCAGAAGGCCGTGGAAATGTCTTGGTTGCTCAGCCTGTGTTCCTCTCAACCAACTGGCGCGTCGCAA